CAAGATCTTTTCCTTCATGCCTTGAAGTTAGCTTGCAGTCGATGACAATTAAGCCCGAACAGTTTCCTTTTTTGCAGCAAGACGGTCCATGCCATCTTTCTATCCCATGGTCTCCGCCCTTATTATATCAACTTCCTGACGAAGCTTCCCGATCGTCTCGAGTTTCTGCTGCAACTGTGAGATCAAAATATTAGCCTCCAATCCTAAATCAAGCCCATGAGTTCTTAATATTATCATTACCTGCTCGGTCAAGTCGGTATGGTCTTGATGAGCCTTGGCCAACTCAGGTCGAAGGCCTTTGATTTCTTCTTCCCTTTGCCCGGAAAGAAATTTAAGGGCGTTCCTCTCCTCCGTAACATGTCGAAGGTCGGCCTCGAACTGATGCAGCTCAGCTCGAGACCGAGAACATGCTTCTCGATGAACCTTCACGACCTGCGAAGAAAGAATAAAAGAAGTTAGAAAAGAATAGCAAACACAAAAGTAATATAAACAAAGAGAGTTAAAAGCTTACCCGATTCAGAGCTTGTTGCACTTCACAGAAAAGACCCGACACATCACTAGAGCGAGCAACGTCCTCGACCCCAGTAAATAAATCACAGAAGGGGTCCTCCCCTTCATGAGACCGGCTCATCTCGAGGCCCCCCAAAGCTTGGGATTCCCGAATCGCCCTATCTAAAAAGGCAGGAAGAGTGGGCGAGTCTCTAATTACTATTGCCCCAAATGACTCGCTTGAGGCGTTCTCCTTAGTTCGGAGAGCTTCAGGACCGGCCCCTTCCGATGTACCCACCGTCTGTTGACTTCTCTGGGAAGCATCCTCGATCTCTAATGACTCGGGGACTCTGCCCGAACCTTTCTCCGATATCTCCTTGATCCGAGGCGGAGCCTTATAAATCACCATCAATTCAGCTACCTCTGGGGCATCGATGGTTTTCTTCATTCGGGCCGCCAACATGGACCCGCCATTTTTTTCTTCTTCTTCTTCTTCTTCTTCATCCCTTAGACGCATAACTGATTCTATGGTCAAAGGAATGGTATTCTTCCTCAGCTTACGAGCCATCATCGTCTTCGGTTTTGGATCTTCAGAAGCGGATGTCCTTTTTCTCTTATTATCCTTCACTGGCTTTGGAACAGAGGATTAAGCCTCTTCCTCGACGGACGAGGGCCTCAAAACCGCATCTTTGCCCACACCTACATACATGAATATTGATTTAAGTATATAGAAAGCATCTCGTTCGAACTACCAAAAATACGAGAAATGGGCTTACCATGATTTTTAGCCTCCCATCGGCCCTTTGACAAATCACACCATGAGCGCTCAGTGTAGGTGGAGGTCGAAGCCAGATCCCGTACCCAGTTCTTGAGGTCGAAAACTGTACCAGGCATTCAAGGAATTGTTGTATCACAAAAATGGGATATCAGTGAGAAAGAAATGAAGGGGCAAATAGTAGGAGATAACAACAGAATTACACTTAAGTTTCATGTTCCACTCCTCGGGAAAATGCATCTTTTTAGTCGGAATCAGGTCCGAATTCTTTACTCGAACGAACCTGCCCATCCAGCCTCGATCCATGTCCTTGTCTATGCTCGAGAATAGAATCTTGGTAGCCCGACGCTGAAGTTTTATTAACCCGCCTCGGAAGAGGCGAGAACAGTACAATCGGATGAGATGGTCGAGGGTGAAAGGCATCCCCTTGATTTTGTTCACGAAGTAACGGATCAAAATAACGATCCGCCAAAAAGAAGGATAGATCTGGCCTAGGGTTATTTGGTATTGACGGCAGAAATCAATAATAACAGGGTCGAGAGGACCTAACGTGAAAGGGTAAGTATACATACTTAAAAACCCTTTCACGTAAGTGGTGATATCTTCTTCAGAAGACGAGATTACTATTTCTTTGTTCTTCCAATTGCAATATTTCTTTAGCTGTTCGAGGTGCCTCTCGGTTATCGAACACATATACCTCGATACTGTCTCACATCGGTCGGAAACCGATGAGCCTTTGTCGACCTTAAAATCAGAGGTAAGAACACACGCCCTAGGAACACACTCCTCCGGCCGTGGCTCTACCGGCGTTTTGTCAGCGGCGGGCTGTGAAGAAGAAGCTTTTTCTTTCTGAGGTATGTTTTTTGATGTTTTCGCCATTTTTTGATTTAAAGATCGAGAATATAAGGAGATAACAAAGATTTAGTATTTTTTAAGAAAGATTTTTGCAGAGAAGAATCACATATTTACGAATGAATTCAAAAGGTGTGAGAAAGAAGTTAGAAAATCCAGAGTTTGGAGATGTAAAAGTGATTAAAAATGAAAATGGGGTTATTTATAGGTAGAGCAATGGCGGTTCAATTTCGATAATGGCCGACCATCGTCTGACACACATTAAATGTCTAGGTAAACTGAACTGACAGGACAGCTCTCACGCACGTCATGATCGGACTCGATGCAAATGTCAGTATATATCTAATTGTACCGTTAAAAAATCATATCGTTTCTCGCTACATCCTTCCTAAGAAACGAGGGGACTATCTGTATTCGGTCAAAACCGGTTAGTCCTTTGTACGAACTGGTCAAAATGATAATACATTGGATCGAAGATCAGGTTGAGGTCCGAAGTGAGGCCATCAAGCTTCGAGCCCTAAGGACCGATCAATGTCGATCTCGATATCATTATCGAGCTCGAATCCAAATCGAACTATGATGAAGTTATCGAGCTTACGTGACTGAGACCGACCAACACCGTCCCCGAATCAATATAAGGGCCCGAATTAGAATTGAGCTCGAGTCAAGATAGAGAGCTCGAGTCGATATCGAGCTCGAGTCAATATCGAGCTTATAGACAAGAGCCGTTGCAACTGCACTAGGGGAGAGAATCCTGGCAGGAATTATGAAAATGCTGATTTATCATGGGTCTCCCACAATGTATTTTTAATTGTATCTAAAGTAGGATCCCTCCACTATAAAGGGGTTGGTTATTATTTCTGGAAAGGACCAAGTTTTTGACATAAATTGTAACTGAGATATCATACACTCATATATTGAAGAGTTATCCTTTTTTAACTTCATAGATTGATTACTCTTGTCTAATCCATAAATCATTTTCTTTCCAACTTTGCTTATTTTTCATTCTTTGCAATCAATATTCGATATTTTCATTTTACTCTTACGATTTGTGTCAGATTATACCACGTATCCTTAAAACTATGTATAAATTTAACTCTATTTGTTTTTTGGGTAAGCAAGTCCATTCCAAATATTTTGTGGATCTTTTCCGCCGTATCAGTGGCCGATTGGTTGCATTTGCATGCCAAGTTGTTTTAGAGATTTTGTTTTTGTTTCTTATGATAAAGATTATGCCATTACTTGAAAAAAAGGAAAAAGCACAAAGGTTAAAGAAAAGGCAATTAAAATTTAGTGCAATATGTTATTCTTGAATGCTACTTTCAATATTGGAATACAATATTGTGGTGGCGGTAACGGTAGCAATGGTGGTGGAGGGGAAGGAGATTTTAGTGGTGAAGAAAAATAGAAAGGAGGGGAAAAATAGGTTAGGGGCGCTGAGATGGCATGTCACGTGGCGTCCGCCTCATCAAATATCAGTGTCACGTATGATTGAATGTCCACTTTGGATAAACTTAACAGACGAGGAGTATATTTGAACCAATAATATAATGACTAAAGGTATATTTGGACTCAAAGTATAACAAGAGATATATTTAACCCTTTAATACGTAAGTCAAAATTAATATTTCTTAAATGCTTAATGTGTAACATGAGACAGAAGAATGCATTTTTTTGGCAAATAAATGTAAATGCAAAGCCAAATAGGAATTATCCGCCAGCACGTTATTACCCCTCCGCTCCTTAATTACGTGATCAGATTCCCAAAGATTACAAAAATCTGGGCATTCTCGTAAATATCACTTTTCTGAGGTCAAATAACCAATCCTTAACCCAAGGTAAACGCAAGTAGTTGTGCAAAAAGACAATAAATATCTATACGTACACATAATAGCTCTATAGCCTATAGGCTATACATGAAGTAGAAACAATAGAAAATACAATAAACGAAATTAAGTTGGATGCATGAACTATAGTAATATTTATACAATCATATCAATTATAAATTATATACATATAAATTTATGATAAATACAACTTCGTAGAAATGATAACTAATATGTTATAATACTCCGGTCTACAATAAGTGACTATTTTATTTTTTTATTTTGATAAAAAATAAGTGTCCATTACATAATCAAGAAGGAATTAATTTATTTTTTCAAAATTTGCCCTTATTACATATTTCAATGTGTCAATGTAACAATTAATTAAGATTAATTTAGTAAATACATATTTTTCTCTCTAGTAATTCGTATTTCCTTAATGAGTGTGCCAAAGGTAAAATAGTCACTTATTGTGCACCGGAGGGAATAACTAATTAAGCACTAAATTTTTTTAAGTTTAAGTTTTGTACATTAATGGTGGTCAGCGTAAAAGTATTTACATAATCAAATCACTTATAAGATAGATGTTGATAAATCTCTATGATAAATAAGTAATTGCAAAGTTTATAACATTGTTAACTAATTTGCAATAAACATATTAAAATATAAAATATAATCCATAAGTAATAGGAGTACATACAACAAGTGTTAGAATCTAACACATGGAGTTTGTTTGATATATTGTTTCTGCAAAAAGATAAGTAACTTTTGACGTATGTGTTCAAACTATAATTTCCAAATCTTGCAAATACACAAAACTCCAGCATCAAACGATTTATTTTTGCAATTTTTTTTTTTTTTTTCTCTTTCCAAAACTCAATTTTACAAAAACTGAAACGAATGTGAAATGTCACCTAATCTTTGTCATTTTTATTTGGGACGATTGACGAGGAGCAAAAGGCCAAAAAAAAAAAAAAAGGAAAAAGGAAAAAGGAAAAATAAATTAAAAAAGCAAAAAGGAGAACCCCACATAGAAATAACAGCTGGTTAGGGCTTAGACTGAAAATGCAAACTGCGTGAAAATTCACACACACCCCAGAAGCACATATATATAAATAATAGATAGAGAGAGATTCCGGCAACTTCGGAGGATCGCCGGCAACTTTTCCGATCTTATCATTGGCTCACAGATTCGCGCCAAAAATCAATTCACCATTCACCTCTGCAAAATTCTCGCCTCCTTTTTTTAAAATCAAGAAAATAGGGAATTTATATACATACAGGAAAAAAAGCCAAATTTATATAGATAAGTACAGTTATGTGGGACAGAGAGGTGCAGAGCTAAAGGGGGTAGGTGGGTGGTTGATTTGAACGTTGGGATCGGAAAGTGGGTTTTAGGAAACTACAGGGGTTTCCACTGAAATTAAACTTTCTTTACTCATTTTCTTGATGATGGGGTTTTGTAATTTTTTTTAAGTTTTTTGTCTTTTAATCAAGAAAATTTCAGGTGGGTTTCATCAATTTTGAGAGAAAATAGTCTTTTCTGTGTGTGAATCTGCATGCAGTCAGGGGGTGGAGCTCAGCAAGGGGGTGGTGTCGCCGGACATGGGCGGAGCACGGCGGCATCAGCCTCAGCTTCTCCTTCATCATCTTCTTCTGCCTCTCATATGGGGTTGGATCAGCAGCAGCAGCAGCAGTTGCATCAACATCAACAGCAACAACAACGCCAGGTTAGGGTTAACAACCTTTTTTTTCCAAATTTTATTGCATTTTTGTTTTGTTGAAGTGGGATTGATCCTTATTTATCTATTTTGGACGTGGGTTCTGGAAATGACCTCAAGTTTGTTTTTTGGAACTGGGTTTTGTTGAATTTCAGCACTTGGTTTGAAGTGATATGATTTGCTTGCTATGTGAAAGACATTCTTTTTCTTGTTTCAAGTAGTATTGAGGTGACAGCTACTTAAGCTTTGAAAACTTTGGCATGATGGAGAGAAATCTTTTGTGCTGTAAAATGTAGTAGCACATGTTGATTTTATAGTTATCAACTTCATTTTTTGAGGAATCAACCCTGTATATTTTGGTCTGTGCTCGATGGGTAAACTGTTAACCTTGAAGTGGCAAGTGGAAGTGATGAGTTCCAGCGAGTGAATGTTGTTTGCCAGGTCTTTAAGATTTTAACCTTGACCTGTTCAAAAGATTTATTTTTCCAACAGTATTGAAAGTCCATGTGATTCTTACTGCAATGATGTTCTCAACTCCTACCAGATTAACTGTCATTGCTTAGATTATGGAATGTAATCTTCTATTTCGTCCATACATATGATACTTTTTTGTCCACATTTGTTACCTTAATGATAACTCTAAGGAGTAGTAGTTGTCCTCATGTCTAAAGCTTTGTTTGAATTCATTATCCTTAATAGGAAACAAATTTATTACAAAGTGAACTGAAGAAGACGAATTACAGCACAGGACGAAATAAGATGTAGCTCAATCAACCTAGAAGAATTTTGTCCATTATGTGCTTAGGATGCTGCAAATGTCCTTAGAAACTCTTTCATGCTTTTGAGTGGCAGGATTGATCAACTTTGTCAGTTATACCAGTTTTCTCGAGTGTCTTGTTTGCTTTCTAGCTAAAATATTTTCCATGTACTTTGATGCTTTATTTGCTGAAATATTTCTGATATCTGGAGAGATGGTTTTTCCTTCTTTATTTCTGGAATAATATTTTACTAGGTATGCTTTCAAATAAATTGTTAAGACTTGCTTTCTTGAATCATGATAGCTGCCTTTTCAAACTCATGTGGGTTTTAACATAGTGGCATATTTTCAAGGATAAGATCACTAGAATTTAGGTCTTATTTGAATCACTCACCTTATTTTACAAAATAACTTTGACGTATCATTTTTTGCATATTTATTTTGCAGTCATTGCAACAACAGTTCCTTAGAAGGCCTGAAGGAAATGAAGCTATTCTTGCCTTCCAGACTGGCAATGCCCATGGAATGTTAGGTGGGGGTAATTTTGTTGGACCTTCTGGATCCATGCAGCTGCCTCAGCAGTCGAGGAGGTATATTGATTTGGGTCAACAACATGGTTCTCCCACCATTCGAGAAGATGGCCAGAACAGGAGCCAGGGCTTTGAGCAACAGATGCTGAATCCCGTCCAACAGGCATACTTGCAGTATGCTTACCAGGCAGCCCAACAAAAGTCAGCTCTTGGGATGCAACATCAGCAGCAAATGAAAATGGGAATGTTTGGCCCTCCTGCAAAGGACCAAGATCCTAGAATTGCTAATATGAAAGAACTTGTTGCCATGCAGGCATCAAACCAGGCCCAGGCATCATCATCAAAGATATCCTCAGAACATTTCTCTCGTGGTGAGAAACAATCTGATCAGGGCCAGCAGTTGATGGCCGATCAGAGAACAGATCCGAAGCTTCCTTCCCAGCCAACATTGCTTGGCCAAGCAGTAGCTACGAAGCCCATGCAGGCTCCACCATCTCAGCAAAGCATGGCGAACATGACAAGTAACTCTCTTGCTATGGCTGCGCAGATGCAAGCAATGCAGGCTCTGGCACTTGAACGTAATGTTGATCTGTCACTACCTGCAAATGCGAACATTATGGCACAGCTAATTCCGCTCATGCAGTCCAGAATGATGATGGCCCAGCAGAAAGTGCCTGATGGCAATGTGCCTGTTCAATCTTCATCAGGTCATACGCCAAAGCAGCAAGTTTCATCACCTCAAATTGCAAACGAAAACTCGCCTCATGCTCATTCTTCAAGTGATGTGTCGGGCTCAAGTTCTGCTAAAACTAGGCAGACTGTTACAACTGGTCCTCTCGGTGTGACACATAACATCGCTTCAATTAATAACTCAAATAATATAGTCCAGCAGCAGTTTTCTGCTCAAGGTAGAGAGAACAATTTGCCTTCTAGACAACCAATTACGGTTAGCAGTGGATTGCCTCCCATGCAATACCCACAGTCATCTATAAACCCGAACCAGGGTGTGGATAACACCTTCCCACCTAAACCTGCCTCAACTGCCCAAGAAACCTTGCAGACGCAGTATGGCAGGCAATTGAGTCGACCTTCACCACATTCTGCAGCTTCTTCTCCAGATGGGAATTTGGGGAATTCCCTTGCATCTCAGGGTGGAAATGTCCGTCAAGTGCAAAAACAACATCTGGGGTTCAGTAAGCAGCAACTGCATGTTCTTAAAGCCCAGATACTTGCATTTAGACGTCTAAAGGTTTGTTCATTAGTGTACTCTGCTCAGTTTTACATACTTTGCTCCCCCTTGCTCAAAATACTCAAACCTGTTATTATTAAATATATCTTGATCTGCTTTTTCTTGCTTGTAGAAAGGAGATGGGACATTACCGCGTGAGTTACTCCAAGCTATTATTCCACCACCTCTAGACGTGCAAACGCAGCAAACGTTTCCTCCTGGTGGTACATCGAATCAGGAGAAGTCATCGGGAAAAAGCTCAGAAGATAACTCAAGACGCCCGGAACCAAGTGAGAAGGGTCCCCAGCTTGTAGTACCATCANAGTCTGCAAATGCTGCTGCAGCTGCTGCACGAGCACAGGTACTTCTCTTGCCCTGCCTTGTGCAGGCACTATCTTAAGTTGCTATGCATGAGTTACAAATTGCTAAATTTAGGGAAAATGTCGTTGGTGCAATTTTATGGTTAATCATAGGGCAATGCAGAAGTGACCAGATGCCTTTTCCACTTTTGGTATCTCATATACATATTTATATATATTATGAGCAAAAAAAAATCATACCAAAGCTTGTCTTGCAACTATGCCCTCTTAATTGGAACAAATGGACCTCCCGTTGTACTGGATTTGTTTGATAAACTTTTTCCATCCCTAGTTGGTGATTATATTTTATTTGCGTTCTTTCATTTTTTTCCGTGATAACAGGGCCTCTCTGAAGAAGAAGTAAGATCTGCGGCAGCCTGTGCTCGGGAGGAAGTCATGATAAGGAATCGTTTCTCTGAAATGAATGCACCCAGAAATGGTTCATCAGTTAACAAGTAATTCATTTTCTTTCCTTAGTACACCTTGGCATTTTGGGACATTTCTACACGTGAGAAGTTCTGTTCGGCAGTCAATGATTTCTTGTTGATAAGTTCAGTTTGCTCTTGAATATTAACCGAGCAGTTCTAACTCATGTGGAGGAGATTTGGTTATCTGGTCCATCCAGATTGTCATCGACATTGTGGTTGTTTACATCTAGGACAGCTGTCACTTATCTTAACTGACTACACCTGTCTTTAGCATGTTATGCGGTGTCATTGTTTAGCTGCCATTAGGTTATCTCAACTCAACTCTGTACTCTTTTTCATGTCTTCAGGTATTACCATCTTGCCCATGCTGTGAATGAAAGGGTTATTAGGCAGCCTTCTATGTTACGAGCTGGAACTTTGCGAGACTATCAGCTGGTACGTTGCAAACTTCAATACATGCAGAAATGATTAGACTTCTTACATTTTCATTTTCTTAATTTCAGTATCTCATTTTGTGCTTTTACGTGAGATAAAATTTTTGTATTCAAATGTTACAGGTGGGGTTGCAGTGGATGCTTTCTTTGTATAATAATAAGCTAAATGGTATTTTGGCTGATGAGATGGGTCTGGGGAAGACTGTGCAGGTGAATGCTCTTTCATCCAATTTAGTGTCCTGCTTTACTCTGAATATGTTTTGAGTGGGATCTTTCTTACTATAAGTGGGTCAAAAGTGTGAATAAAAAGATGAACATTATCAAACAGCATGCTAAATTTAAAGCAGAGAGAATTCATATGATTACAACATCTTCAGGGTATTACATTTTTTACCAGATGATCATAACTTGTGCTTTAGTGATATGCTTCTTGTTTGTGTTCTCTTTCTGTCTCAACAGGTTATGGCATTAATTGCTTACTTGATGGAATTCAAACAAAACTATGGACCACATCTTATAATTGTGCCAAATGCCGTTCTAGTTAATTGGAAGGTTGGTAATCAATTGCTGTTGATAGTGTGAGTGTCTTTCTGGTTTCCCTTTGTACTTACTCATTTTACATTTCCAGAGTGAGTTTCTCAATTGGCTTCCATCTGTGTCCTGCATCTTCTATGTTGGTGGGAAGGATCAAAGATCCAAGTTATTTTCACAGGTATGGTGCATTCATGCTGAAATTTAACTGACTTATGTTGTTGAACTTGGTATTGAAGGTTCTATATGCTTCAACATCTTGTAGGAAGTTTGTGCGATGAAATTTAATGTTCTCGTCACTACGTACGAGTTCATCATGTATGATCGTTCTAAACTTTCAAAAGTCGATTGGAAGTATATAATAATTGATGAAGCACAACGTATGAAGGACAGAGAATCAGTTCTTGCTCGTGATCTTGACAGATATCGATGCCAAAGGCGTTTGCTTCTCACGGGGACACCATTGCAGGTGTGTTGTGTCTATCATTGCTTATGTTCAGATCTACATTACTCTGCTTATGTTTGGATCTGCGTTATTGCAATAAGCTTATTGCGTATGTCCTACCTTTAACTAGGCTTATGCTAGTGTAGGATGCTACAAACAAAACTATTCAAGACTGAGCGCAGTTGCTCAATTGTCTTAAAACTTGCACATATAGAATGATATATCTTTTGAATTTAGTTGCATGCTGATCCATTGAAATTTAATTGGTTTTAACAAGGAAAATTGTGGTTCGGCAAGATATCTTTGCTTACAATCACAATCCATCATTGTGAACTTTGTACAGCTAAAGGGAAAATCCCTGCATGAGGTTTTAAGTGTCTTGTATTAGTAGTGCCTAAGCAGAGTTACATAGACAATTAAAAAAAAGTTACATAGACAATAAAAATGAATCTTCGCAGTTCTGTCTGTGGCTCGAGTTTTTTTGCCAAATGCTCTTAAGCATGGCTCGCTGGTTGCAACTGGGTGCTTATTTTTCTTTTAACCACATTAACTCTTTCTTACTTATCCATTCTTGTCTTAACTTCCTTAGCACATGAATTAGCATAAGAGAATTTGTTTAAATGTGTTTGATGCAGAATGATTTGAAGGAACTATGGTCACTTCTAAATCTACTGCTTCCAGAAGTATTTGATAATCGCAAAGCATTTCATGATTGGTTCTCCAAGCCGTTTCAAAAAGAAGGTCCGACACACAATGCTGAGGATGACTGGCTTGAGACTGAGAAGAAGGTCATTATTATCCATCGACTTCACCAAATTCTCGAGCCTTTCATGCTCAGGCGTCGTGTTGAAGATGTTGAAGGTTCACTTCCACCCAAGGTATACCTTCATGGTTGTCCTTGGTTTCAAAACTGTGATGTAGAAACTCTCTAATTATAACTTCAACTGCAGGTCTCAGTTGTCTTAAGATGCAGGATGTCAGCTTTTCAGAGTGCTGTTTACGACTGGATCAAGTCTACTGGTTCACTTAGAGTTGACCCTGAAGATGAGGAGCGAAGGGCTGAAAAAAATCCAAATTACCAGCCTAAAACATATAAAGTTTTAAATAATAGATGTATGGAGCTTCGAAAAGCTTGCAACCATCCTTTGCTTAACTATCCATATCTCAATGTTACAAAGGACTTTCTTGTTAAATCATGTGGTAAATTGTGGATTCTTGATCGGATCTTAATTAAACTTCAAAGAACAGGGCACAGGGTGCTGCTTTTCAGTACCATGACAAAGCTGCTTGATATCTTGGAGGAGTATTTGCAGTGGCGACGACTCGTCTACAGAAGAATTGACGGGACAACGAGCTTAGAGGATCGTGAATCAGCTATTGTGGATTTTAATAGTCCAGATACTGATTGCTTTATCTTCTTGCTAAGCATTCGTGCTGCTGGGCGTGGATTGAATCTTCAGACTGCTGACACTGTGATCATCTATGATCCTGATCCAAACCCCAAAAATGAGGAACAGGCAGTTGCTAGAGCCCATCGTATAGGACAGAAAAGAGAAGTGAAAGTCATATACATGGAGGCAGTTGTTGACAAAATTGCAAGTCATCAGAAAGAGGATGAATTCCGTGCTGGAGGTGCAGTTGATTCTGATGATGACCTCGCAGGCAAGGACCGGTATATGGGATCTATTGAGAGTCTCATTCGGAATAATATTCAACAGTATAAGATTGACATGGCTGATGAAGTTATAAATGCTGGGCGTTTTGACCAAAGGACTACACATGAAGAGCGGCGTTTGACTTTAGAAACGTTATTACATGACGAGGAGAGATATCAAGAGACACTTCATGATGTTCCCTCTCTTCAGGAGGTAAATCGCATGATTGCTAGGAGTGAAGAAGAGGTAGAACAATTTGATCAAATGGATGAAGAATTTGATTGGGAAGAGGAGATGACTAGATATGACCAGGTTCCAAAGTGGCTTCGTGCTACCAGTAAGGAAGTTAATGGGGCCATTGCCAATTTAGCAAAAAAGCCCTCAAAGAATGTCTTATTTAGTAGTGGTACTGGCATGGACTCCAGTGGAGCTCCTGAATCTGAGAAGAAAAGGGGGCGCCCCAAAAGTAAGAAGGTTCCTATTTACACAGAATTGGACGATGACTTCTCTGAAGCAAGCTCTGAGGAGAGGAACGGATATTCAGCCCATGAAGAAGGAGAAATTGGGGAATTCGAAGATGATGAATTTAGTGGTGCTGTTGGTGTTACACCAGTTAACAAAGACCAATCAGAAGAAGATGTTCCAAGTTATGCTGATAGATATGAATACCACCAAGGTCCACAAGGTGCTATAAAGACTCTTGTACCTGATCAACAAGTGGGTTCATCAGGATCATCTTCAGACAGCCAAAAACCGATACCAATAGTATCCTCGTCTGTGTCATCTCAGCAGAAGTTTGGATCCCTTTCAGCATTAGATGCCAGGCCCGGTTCTCGGGCCAAACGGATGGTGGGGAATTCATTCCCTTTGTTCCTTCTTTAAAGGTGTACCTCCAGTACTGATAACTTCTAATGACTTCCATATTTCCATTTTTTAAATTTCAGGCAGATGAATTAGAGGAAGGAGAAATTGCAGTATCTGGAGACTCACATGTGGATCTCCAGCTGTCTGGTAGTTGGATCCAAGATCGTGATGAAGGCGAAGAAGAACAGGTGTTGCAGCCCAAAATAAAAAGGAAACGCAGTTTGAGGGTTCGACCAAGGCATGCTGCAGAAAGGCCAGAAGAGACGCTCATTGAGAAGCCAGCTGTGCAGCGTGGAGATTCTTCTCAGATGGCACTTCAAGGGGATTGTAGATATGATCTTCAAGTGAGAAATGATCGTGGACACAAAGCGCATGCAGAGCCTAGTGCTTTAAAGCATGGTCAAGGTGATGCATCCTTGAAGAGTAAGCGAAGCATACCCTCGAGGAAATCTTCTAATTCAGTGAAGATTCATGGTTCAGGAAAACCTGGAAAAGTCAGTTGCTTGTCTCCTGATGATTCCTTTGAACCCACAAGAGAAAGTTGGGATAATAAGCCCAGCGGGACTTATAGTGGAGGGAGTAAGATGTCTGAGGTCATTCAAAGAAAGGTAAAAACACTTAAAAAGTAGTATTCAACTGTTAAATTGAAACTCCTTTTTATTGCATTAATTTCTTGATACTGCATCTCTACTGGAGTTTGGGAGAAGGAATCGGTTTTGTGTAGCACATTTTGTTATAGCTTTTTTTTTTAATACAAGTACCTGGACTTAAATTCTCTTGTTCAAATGAGTGTCTTGTATTAGAGCGGAACAGATACAGAAGATTCCTATAGCTGACTGCAGTTAGATTGGGATTGAGGCCTAATTGTCTTGTATTGTATGCTTTTCTAGTTTAAAGTTTATACTGTATTTATTATTTTGGTTTCCAGCTTTCATCAGAATGACCTCTCAATCATCAGTTTTCCTATGTTTTGTCTGAGTATTTCATGTTGCTACAGCTTTGACTAATATATGTTGATCAGGCTAGGACTATTTGATTTTAATCAGAAATTATGGTCGGGTGACTGCCTTTAATGTACTTGAACACAATCTGTCCAGCTGGTTCAGAGTAGTGTTACTACTTATAGTCAACAACTACGCCTCAACCCCAAGCAAGTTGGGTTTCATTTTGTATCTGCTTGCATAAAAAAGATACAATTACTCAGGGCTCTGTGTGTCAATCTTTCTCTCTCCTGATTGTAGATATTACTCCTGATCTTGTGCATGATTTTTCTTTCTATTGCAGTGCAAGACTGTCACTATCAAGCTCCAAAAGAAAATAGAGAAGGGTGGCCATCAAATAATTCCACTGCTACATGGTCTGTGGAACAGAATTGAAAGTTCTGATTGCATAGGTGGGGCTGACGATAGTGCATTTGGTTTACAGACAATTGATATGCGTGTTGATGAGTCTGAGTACAGTGGAGTGCTCGAATTTGTGTCTGATGTGCAGCTGATGTTAAAACGCGCAGTGCAATACTTTGGTTTCTCGCATGAGGTATGCAATGATACTTAAGATCTGAACTGATTCAGCTTATTATACTCCTCACTATTGCCATGCTTTCATACTGATATCCAGAAAAGACTGCCAGTCCTGTTTTCCTGATATTTATGTAACTCATCAAATAAGAATAATGTATAAACGAACATGAGTCGACCAGTGAAAAAACCAGATTGAGTGGTCTATTGGTCATCACGTCATGCTCATACCCAGCTCCCCCCATGTTCTTTTACTTCAATTTCTGAAATTTCGCTACCATTACAGGTGAGATCTGAAGCAAGGAAAGTGCATGATCTTTTCTTTGACATCTTGAAGATAGAATTTCCAGAGACCGACTTTCGAGAAGCAAGGAATTCTATCTCTTTTGCTGGACCTGCAGCTAGTACTACACCCGGCGCATCTTCAAGGCAGATGCCTGTAGGTCAGAACAAGAGACATAAACTGATAAATGAAATGGAACCTGACCCTAGCCCGCTACAGAAACCAAAGACACGTGGAGCACTCCATGCCGGTGAAGATGCCAAGGCTAAGAATCATACGGCTCAAAGAGAAACAAGATTTGGTGGTAGCAGCGGCCGGGAGCTTAGCCAACAGGATGATTCGCGCTCGTTCACTCATCCGGGGGAGCTTGTTATTTGCAAGAAGAAGAGAAAAGATAGAGAGAAGTTGGGTATGAAACCTGGGAGTAGTTCTGCTGGTCCTGTCTCACCACCTAGTGTCCCCCGCAGTATCAGAAGTCCAGGCTCGCTCCCAACTGTGAAGGAGGGGGGAAGGTTAAACCAGCAGACACCACCACCCCAAAATCAGTTGAATGGCAGTGGTAGCAACAGCTCTGTTGGCTGGGCAAACCCTGTGAAGAGGCTGAGATCAGATTCTGCAAGAAGGCGGCAAAGTCATTTATGATTATAGTTGTTAAAGGTGTACAATGTAATGCAACAAGTAATAGCTGATGATACTCTATTGAGGTGCTGTGAATAACCGGCCCTTCTGATTTTCATACCTCCTGAGCTGTGTACTTCCTCCATTCCATCCCCAGCCTCACTTGTATGATAAATATGCTATTGAAGATAGGCTTCTTACTGTCCACCACTGGCAACTGCTTGTCTGAGATTTTTCTTTTTCTTCTTGTTCCTCCTCTTTTCTTTTTCTATTTTTTTAGAAACAGTTGAGTGCTAGATTATGGAAAACTGCCAAAAGGTGCTCGCCTATTTACCTGCATCCTCTTTTTTCGTTTCTTTATCAAAATCAATTCTCAATAAACTAAGCCGTATTTGTCTGCATTTTGTCTCTTCGCTAATACCGTGCTCTCTTTGATATTGCTATGAGATGTAGCATTTTTGTGCTACTCTTGACATTTTCTTTTTGTCGGTTTAGAAGTTAGGCTAACAGAGGTTGACAGCATACTTGCATTTTATGAATTGGCGAGCACAGTTACTAGGCACTTATCCTAGCAAATGGTAACCAACACCAGAAAATGAATTACACATATATGTTTGAAGGCTAAAGTGATATTTTCTCCACAAGAAATGTTCAAGTCTGAAATAAAAGGGGACATATAGTTTACTAGAGAAAATGACAAAAATGCTTCCTCACGTTCTGGGGTAAGTTCAAAATAATTTCTTAAATATATACTTATGGTCCTCTAAGCTTGTCAAAAAATAAGCATATCGAATATTTAGTAAACTATGATTATTAGTAGATTTTAACAGGAATCGTGGAAAATAAAATTTTAAAAAATTAGTAAATTAGCGAAAACTTTTATTATAAGAAATGTTAAGAAAATATTTCAAAGATGTAATTAAAAGGGTTATTTAATTTAGTAAATAATACTAGTATTAAACAAATGTAGACAAATTCAAGCGAATGGGATTCTGTCCGTACGAATAAACGCGGGTCGCATTTCACCGGCGTCTGTTTCGCTGTGCCACATTTCCC